TCAGCAGACTGCGATCACTGGGTGTGGTGACGCACACCCACCAGTGCTGGGGGTGCTGAGACAGGAGGAGCACGATGAGTCTGAACTGTGTAGTGAGATCCTGTATAAAATAAATAAATTTTTAAAATTAAAAGAAGAAATGCAAATCTTTATGGCCAGCAAAAAGAAAATACAAGTGGGATGTGTCAGCTGTCCTCAAATGTTTGGGTGAGGGAGGGAAAGAGCTTGGCCAAGTGGAATTGCTGGTTTGAAATTTTTGCGAAATTTCCACACTGATTTCGATAGTAGTTGTGCTACTTTGTGGTCCCCCATCTCTTTGAGGTGGGACGTGTCAGAGCAAATGGGTGTGATGTAACCCCCACCCCACGTTCAGCATATTAGTGCTAGTTTACAGAATCTGGGCAAACCATTCTTGTTCAAGCTGCTGAGAGGAATATTTCTTTTAATAACATAAGATTGAAATATTTATTTATTTATTTATTTGGCTCAGGATCTTGCTATGCAGCTCAGACTCATAGTGATCCTCCTGTCTCAGGATCAAGGGATTAAGGTGTGTGCCACCATGCCTGGACTCGGTAGCCAGTACAGTGTGCCCAGAGTTCTGGGGCCTGCAAGGCATGTGGTACCAGGGGTAAAACCTAGGTCCTTGCACTTGCCAGGCAGACACTTAGACTGCCGAGCTATCTCTCTGGCTCCAGGATTGTAATATTTAATGTCTAAGGTTATTCCCAACACTGTATTTCTGTTAGTGTCAATTAGGTAAACGTCTCACATTTTTGAAATGTAAGATCAAAAGAGTTTTCTTTCTCAAATTTAGAATATATGAGAATTAAGGTAACACTTGTTTCAATGTATATATCTGAGCTGATGAACTGAGAATTTTTGATTCACTTAAATTTGAGGTAGGACCTAACAATGTATACTTTATGATCTAGGTTGATTTTGAGGACATGATGTTATTCTTTAAAAAATAATTATTAGGGCCAGGGAGATAGCTCAGTAGAACAAGAACTTGCCTGGCAAGCGCAAGGGACTGAATTCAACCCCCAGTTCTCAAAACAAAACAAAACAAAACAAAACAAAACAAAACAAAACAAAAAAACTGTTAGTGAATGTGTGTAGTACATAATGTTTATATTCGTTGCAGGGAGCTGGTACATGTGCATAATCCTGATCAATTCTGCTTTTCATCCCTTTTCCTCTGCTCCCTCCTCACTATACCTATTTCCTGATCTCCTTCCTTTTTGGTACCTATTTGCAGTGCACAGTACTTATATTCCCTATATGTAGTTGATACAGGTATTTGAAACATATGAATTCCTTTTTATCCCTGTCCCTCTCTTTCCCCCTACTCCCTCCATCTCTTGATTCTCTTGCCCTGTGAGGAAGATCTATCTGCCTGCTTCCTATTATCTTTCTATCATTTTACTTTTTATTTATGCTTTGGATTTCTCATGCCAGAAAAATGATGTCGTATCTAAGCTCGTGTGTCTGACTTGCTTCACTTAATGTTCTGACCACAAGGTGCACCCATTTCTGTCAGCTGGCTTTCTTTATACACAGCAGTGCTCCCCTGAATGTAAACGCCACATTCTCTTTACCCATTCATCTGTTGGTGGGCATATAGGGCACTTCTAAGATTTAGCTATTTGGGTTTATCCAGCTATAAACAGATATGAATGTATTACTGTACTCTGATGTCTTTAACACTTTTAGGAAGATGCTGAGAAAGGGAATAGCTGGGCCAAATGGAATTCCGAGTCTTGTACATTTGAAGAATCTCCACACTAATTTCCATAGTAGTTGTAACAGTCTACATTATCACCAACAGTGGAGTAGTGTTCCTTTTCCTTTCCTATCCTTTCTAGCCTTTGTTATTATTTGCTTTCTTGATTTAGACATTCTTTCTGAGATTAGAGGGAATCTTGGTGTTGTTTGAATTTGTACTTTTCTAAAGGCCAGGATGGGGGGGCTGGGGAGATGGCTAAGTGGAATAAGCGCTTCCCTGGCAAGCACAAGGGCCTGCGTTCAATCCCCGGTCCTGGTTCTGCCAAATAAATAAATAAGTAAATAAAGGCCAGGATGTTAAGCATTTCTTCACATATTTATTGGCCAGTTGTACTTCTTCCTATGGAAGAAGTTTCCATTCAGTTTTGTTGCCCATTTTTTAATTTAGTCTTTATTTTGGGGAGTCTAGTTTTTCGAGGACTTCATATGTTGTAGATATGAATCTTTTGTCTGAGAAATTGCCAGCAATTTTTTTTATCCTATTCTGTATGTTATCCTATTCACTATGTTGGTTGTTTTATGGAAGCTTTCTAATTTGTTGTAACCCTTTGTGTTGATTTTTCTGGACTTTTTGTTTTGGTACTGGGGATCGATCTCTGGACCTTGCACTTGCTAGGAAGGCACCCTGAGCTATCTCCCCAGCCCTGTGTTGATTCTTGAGACTATTTCCTGTGCAGAACATTGAGAAAGTCCTTCCCTATGCTTATGACTTCAAGAATTTTACGATTTTTGTTACCTAGCCCATTGTTTCTGTTTTAACATTTAGATCACTGACCTATTTTGACTTTAGTTTAGTACATGGTGAGAGATCTAGGTCTCCATTCAACCACATGAATGTGGAAACACATTTTCCCAATACCATGTATTAATGAGTCTGTCTTTATTGTGATATGCTTTGGGCTCCTTTGTTAAAGATCAAGTAGCTGAATATACTTGGGCTTTTCTCTGCAGTCTGTATTTTGTTCCACTGATCTTCATATCTGTTTTTGTACCAGTACCACACTTTTTTACCACACTAGTTTTGTAATATAAATTCAGGTCCCAGATGGTTATGTCTTTCACTTTGATCTTTTTGCCCAGGATTGATTTTGCTATTCTGGGTCTCTTCCAATCCCATATGAATTTTAGGAGTGTCTTTTCCAGTTCTGTAAATAAAATTTTTGGAATTTTGGTTGGTATTGGACTAAATTTAAAAATTAATTTTGGCCTATGACCATTTTGAGTATATTGTTTCTACCTACCCAGCAACAGAGGCTGTCTTTCCATTTTCTGTTATCCTCTTTGACTTCCTTTTCAGAGTACTGTAGTTTTTACTATAGAAGTCTTCCCTTTCCTTAGTCAGGCCAATTTGTAAGTATTTAATTTTTCTTTGTGGTATTAATGAATGACATTTTTCTTAATTTCTTTCTCAGTGAGTTCATTATTAGCTACAGAAACACTATTGTGCATTGATTTTGCATGTATATTACTGAATTTAGTTATTAATTCTAACATTCTTTTAATGGATTTTTTGGAATCTTCTGTGTATAGAATCATGCCATCTATAAATAATAGTAGCTTAACTTTCTCCTTTCCTATACATTTCCCTTTTATTGATTTTCCTTGCTTACTTGCTGTTACTAAAATTTCGAGTACTATGTTGAACAAGGGTTATGATAGTGGATGTCTTCATCTTGTTCTTGATTTTTTTTTTTTTTTGGTAAGGGTTTATAGGGTCTCACTATGTAGATTGGAGTCATAGTGATCCACCTGTGTTCAGCCTCCCAAATTATAGGTGGGTGCCACCATGCCCAGTCTCAACTGCAGTCTCAGAGTGCCACGGGGACAGGGCTGGCACAGCAGGCCAGGGTCAAACCTGGGACCCTGAGTCTGGCGCTTTAATCCATCGAGCTATTCAGCTGGCCCTTTGTTCTTGATTTTTAAGGGAAAGATTTCAGATTTTCCCCATTTAATATGATGTTAGTAATAGGCTTGTTATGAATGGCTTTTATTAGCTTGTGATGAGATCCTTGTATATTTATTTTGATCTTTTTTTAAAATCATGAAATGATATATTTGGTCTAAGGCTTTTTCTGAGTGTGCTGAGGTCACATGGTTTTTGCCCTTGCTTCTGTTTTGTGATTGATGTATGTTTAATCACCCTTGCATTTCTCAGATAATGTTTATTTAAATATAGTTCTTTGACATATTATTATTTGGTCTTAAGTTATATTCCATGGACACCATCTTTACTGATAGTAACCAAAGCTTTAAAATATAAATATTTTTATCATGAAGCACACTGAATTGAGTACAGAGCAAGTGAATTACTTTCTAAATTTGATGCTAGTACTTAGGGTTTTGTGAAGAAATGGAAACCAGCAAGTACTGAGTGAGGATAACAACTACAGCCAACACGTCTAAATAAAACTGCTATTCCAGGTCCTCAGGGAAGCAGACACTAACATTGATTAAGGAGCAAGGAAGGGAGAATGTGAGGGTGGGAAAGAAGTGAGGAAGGAGAGGGGCAAAGAGAAAGCAAGGAAAGTCTTCAGATTGAGATGAGGTTTGACACTTATGGAAGTTATGAGAGTGAAAAGAAAAAGAATGGGGTAGAGAGGCTCTCAGAGTGAGACAGCACAGAGAAAGTCTATGTCAGCAGAGAGCTCTGTTAGAAGAAAAGTCCATTGCTGGGGATGCACAGCCAATCCTTCACTTCCTCAGAGTTCTAAGTCCTTTAGAGCTTTGTATGCAAAGTGTGGCCTCTGTTCCAACATCGCAGCTGACAGGAGTTGTTGGAGTTGCCAACTCCTTCTGACAGGCAGGTGCTTAGACCACCGAGCTACCTCCCCAGCCCCTACTCCTTCTGACAAATATTTTCCTCAAGGGAGAGTTTGTGCGGGGCACATGCATGACTGCCACAAAATCCATGTGGCATTTCTTTTCAATGCTGGGAGTGTGCATATATATTTAGAAGCATAATTTGACATAATTTGGTACTGGTTTCTTTTGGTTTCTATCTGTTTCATTCTATTAGTTTAAGTCTTTTGGATTCCTTGTGGTTCCCCTGTCCCCCCATACACATCAGGTATATAATATGAATGGTTCTTTTCATGTATAATTTTATCTAACTGATTCAAAAATAAAATGTCCTTTATTAGAATGTGATGGTAAAAATGCTCTGTAGAGACATGGGGTTTTTAAAACTCAATTTTTTCCTGTCATTGCTCTAGTCTGGCGGCAAGAACAACTTACATACATTAACCAGTATTTTACTGGAGCTGAAAGGAAAGCTGCTTTATGTGAACTTCTGGAAAAAGAGACCCAGATAATTGCTTCCATTGAGAGACAGAGACACATTGCTCGTGTGGCAAGGCAGGAAAAAGCGATACAAGTTTTTATGGATAAGGTTAGTGAAATACCTACTATTTGAAACACGATCATACCCTCAGTTTAGCAATGTGGGAAAATGAGCCAAAGGAGACACTGCAGTGTAAAAATTTACACGAATTTTGTTGACTATGTTGATAACATTCGTTTACATTCTGTACGTTTATTCTTCTGATATAGCTGTCCTGTTAGCTGCATCCTAAAGATTGGTAAGTAGCATGACATTAGCATCTCTTTACTAAGTGTTTGGCCATGAAAGAAAAATGGAGATATTTTCCTTCTGACTTAGGCTCACTACCAGAATCAAGTGATTTGCACACCTGGATAAAATACAGAGTATTAAAGTCACAAAACATCAGAGAATGGCTGCTTTAACAGTAAGCAACAAGAAAAAAACAGGCAGAGCCTTAGTGTTTCTGCTTTGGCTCACCACACTGTTAACTGATTTGAAATTTTTATCCAAAAAGATATATGATTATTGAAGACCATGAAAACATGCAATTAAACGAAAAACTAAAGTAATTACCCTTTTGTGGTCAAAACTGCCTGTCTGATATTGAATAGCCTGTTTCCATAGTAACAAATTTCCTTTTATAAACCTGATCTTTCCAAACAATTAAAGGCCAATTCAGCTTGAAGAAAAGGATGCAGTTCCCAAAGATACTAGCCTCTAGTGATTCTAGTTTAGTGTGTCTTACTTTTTGAGAACACTTGTTATTACACACTATTTTTTGATACTTTAGATACCCTTCCCTCATCTTATGTGCTTTGCTGTTTGATTGCAGTGTATCTTTAACTGCAGTTCTAGTACCATATCAGTTCTGTAGAAGCTTCCAAACTATATGTACAGTTCCCTATTGTGACTGTTTCAGATGTCCCAAGAGTATACCTTGAGGGAGTGAGATGATCCTGAGTCACATCATCTCACCATCTCTTGACCCCTTGTCTCCACACTGATGCTACTGCATGGCGTCCATATGTAACCTACCTCTGTGAATGTTTCATCCTCTACTCAGCTGTTCCAGACAGAAACCTGGGCCTTATTCTTGGTTTCCATCTGCCTCTCAATTTCTATTGCTTAAATATTTCTTTAATTCTTTACTTCTTCCTTCCCAAAATTAGTATCATTGATTGCAGGGAAAACATTATGCCAGGGCATCCTGAAAACCTTACCTATATCAGATGTGAACTACAGCTATACTGAGTGTTTGGGGAAGGCCCTGCAGTCCTCCAAAACACAAGAATAGGAAGAGAATTTTGAGGAACTGCTGTAGGGAATTTCTTTTGTCTCCTTACTTTTCCCAGAAGAATGTTATGAGACAAACCTTGCCCTTTCTTATCTCGCATATGTGAGATCAACACTCGTTCAATTGAATTGGAATTTCCCTCTCATCTGGATTATTTTATATTTCCATATTGAACTATTTTTTGGTATCTTGATTTTGCATTTATTGAAGATAGGAAAATAATTAGAGACTTGGCAGAGCAAATTTGGGCCAAGAGAAAGGAGGAAAAGTATACACTAGGGGAGAAAGCAAGTTACTGTGAGAAAACGCAGTAGCAAAACAGTCGACACATTGACTATTGTTCTATCTATCTGTCTGTCTGTCTGTCTGTCTGTCTGTCTGTCTGTCTATCTATCTGTCTATCTATTTAGTACAGGGTCTTGATATGCAGCTTGGACCCATACTGATCCTCTTGTTTCAGCCTCCCCAGTGCTGGGATTACAGGTGTGTGCCACCAAGCCCGAACTCAGCACAGGGTTAGCATGGCATGTAGTACCAGGGATTGATCCTTGAGCTTGTCTGACAGGTGTTTAGATCATCACACTATCTCCTTGACCCTCTTTTATTTTAAAGAGAGAAAGAAATAATAAAATAGAATTTCAAAAAGGTTAATAGGAGAGTTACAATAATGCATTATGAATTGTCTTTAGGTGTAATATCACATATAAGCAATATTAGCTCAAACCTTTCTTTTCAGTGAACTAAGAGAAATTTGCTTTATATATAACTATCTTGTATATATAGATATATGTATTTTTTTCTTTTTCCTTTCCTCTTTCCTTCATCACAGTTTGTCTTTGCTTTTGAACAGTTTCGTCCCAGTTCACAATATCTATTTAACATTTTGGATCATATTTACTCATTCAGTTTTTCACTCTAGTGAGACCGTACAATGTTTACACATTTGGATCTGTTTTATTTCACTTATGAGTATGGTCTAGTGTTGCATTCAGGGCCAGTGAGATAGCTCAGCCATCTAAATGCCTGCCTGGGCAAGTGCAGGGACCAGGGTTCAATCCCCGGCATGCTGCACCGGCCTCACTTCCTGGTGTGCTACACCTGCCACAGAGACTGGGAATGCTGGTGTTGGCCTGTAATCCCAGTGTTGGGGAGGCTAAAAATGAGTGAGTCTGAGCTGCACAGTAAGATATCATGCCTAAAGACAATATACAATGTATTAATTGCTGTAACTCTCCTATTCACCTTTGTGAAATTCTATTTCATTGTTATTTGTATTTTCTTCTACTTAAAATAAAAAAGAGGTTTTTATATACATTAAAAACTTCTAAAGTTGAATCCATTTACTTATAAAAGTTTCCAATTTATCCTTCTTTATGTCTGAGTAGCACTCCATTGTAAAAACAAAACAAAATAAAACCCGCATCTCTTTTATCCATTTCTCAGTTGGTGGATATTTAGATTTTCCCCAAGAGTTAACTATTGCAAATTGTGCTGCTATAAACATGGATATACACATATCACTGTGGTATGTTTTAATTTTTCTGGGAAAATACCCTAAAGGGGAAGAGTTGGGTCAAATAGGATGTATAATCCTAGTTTTTAAAGGAATCTCCACACTGATTTCCATAGTTGGTGTATCAGTCTACATTCCCACCTACAACAGTGGAGAAGGATTTCTTCTTCACCCACAGCCCTGCTGGTATTTTTTAGCAGTTGGTTTCTTTTTTCTTTTTTAAAATAATTTTATTGAGAAACAAATAACAATGAGACACTTTCAAAACTGATTAGTAGGACAGTTTCGATAATTAATATATTGTATATTGTTGACTTCATACTAGTTATTCATAGTACAAGATGCAGACATGATATCCTGTCCACAAACACTATTAGAACAAATCTTTCTATTCATTGAAAAAAGGGAAAGTAGGTGTATATCTATCCAAACTATTTTGAGTATACAGATACAAAATGGTCCTTCATTTGTATCCCCTTTTTTGTTTAGTTTTGTCAGAGAAGGGTATTCCATTGTCATTTAAATAGTGTAGGTGTGTGAATTCAGCAAAATATTCCAATATAGTCCAATTGTCCATAATAGTAGTGGGTTATCCATAGGACTGGCAATATCAGAAGATGTTGACTTGAGCCTTTTACAGCTCAGAACATTAATATGGCTTTACTTTTCATACTTCGTTTTTAA